AAAAAAAAATTGACTGCTTACCATATCTGTACATTTTCCTTTGTCTATAGATGCATGTGTTCAGATTCCATCCTTCTGTTGATGTTCTTTTTCTCTCCCACATTTTTATAAATTCTGTAAAGACAGAAACTATGGCTTTTGCCACTGTTCTAAAATGTTCCAAGGGCTTATTGGATGTTTAATTCATTATGATTTGTTTTAAATAATTGTTAGTTATGTCTGCAGTCTGAAGCTATGTCAGTAAAATTTAATGCTGACAGTAAAGAGCTTATTATTTGGAATAGAAAATTTGTGCCATTTTTCTATTTATATATTTTAAAACTCAAATTAAGTCTGAAATTATTATATCTTCTTCTTACTTAGAAACCAATTTTGATCCAGCAGAATGGGGAGCTAAGGTAGATGATCGCTTCTATAACAACCATGCATTCAAGGTATTGTGAAGCTATTGTATTTGGCATTTCTTCTCTATCACCAAAGCATATATGAATAAATAAATGAAAATTTTGAGAAACATTACAAATTTTTTATTAAATTATTTTAATTGCTGGATTTTTTTTCTAATAAGAAATTCTTTCCTAAAATATTTGACTCATGTGCAGATTCTCAGCTCCAAGTTTAAATATGATCAGCAAGAAAAAAGCAAATACAGTAAAAGGAATAGAATCTTGCCTCGGTGATTGATTCTTCAAAATATTTATTGAGTACATAGCAGATACTCAATAAATATTTTGGTTAACAAATGATATTTCATTGAATAAAACCGTTCATTCATCATCATTAAAATATTACACAAAACTGACTAGAATTAAAGCCGGTCATTGCACAAAGTTTTCTCTGTAAAGCTCGTCTCCTCAGAGACTAAACCAATCTTTATCTTTGCCAGCATTCGCTGAGCTAATCGCTCTCAACCAGGGTTCCTCAAAATAATTAAGCCCTCAGCACAGGCACCCACTGCTTGCAAGGAATCGAATCTTCTCCTTTGTATCTATAAGGGTGTACTGTCTATCTATAATTATGTACTACTGTCTTTGGGATACTTGAGGAAACAGTGACTCAAGCATCTTTGTGTTCTAGAACTCAGATAAGGAACCCTGGTAAAGAATGGCTACGTGAGATTAGCATCACTGCCCTCACCTGGGATCTTGTTAGAAATGCAAAATCCTGGGCCCTATTTAGGTTAATGAAAATAAAATGGATTGTCAGTAGTTACAGCAATGAGTTCAAACACAGCAACAATTGTGAAAATGGCACAGGACCAGGCCATGTCTTCTTTTGTTGTACAGGGGTCACTATGAGTCGGAAATGACTCTGAAGCACCTAAAAACATTAACAAAAATTAGATCCACAAAGCAGAAAGTCACCACTCTAGATAATACAATAATACTATTAATCAAGAAGCCCTAAAGATGCTAGAATCAAAAGGAATTAGCACATTGAAGTTGTGATGCTGTTTACCAGTAGACT